CAAACCAGGGAACCAAATCCAATGAGGTTTTTGGTTGCATATGAACAGCTCCACCTGCAACTTTTTTTCTTTTTAAACACTTTGTCAATCACATAGCTTTTGCCAATCCATTTTTTACAAGTGTACAACTTATTGACAGAAATTACAATACCTGGTTTTGTAAACCTACCCTAACTCAATATAATTTTTCCATTATTGTTATTAACACTCCAACACTCCCAAACTTTCTCCTTGCAAATGTCCCAGAAGTGGAGTCTGAGTTCACATGGGGGAAGAAGAATCCAGTTCAAAATCAGCACAAGACCAATTCCTATAAGGTTGAGGTTAGACATGCCCACCCAGTTTCCTCTTTTACTGACTCTGACACCAACTGTCCCTCCCACTATACTTTTCATGTCTTTGCTGTGTTTGATAATTCTTGCAATGGCCACACAGAATTGAGAGACCTTATTCCAATTATGGGATTTATCAGGGAAGTTAACAGGTTATAATTTAGGATGAGAAATGCTCAGGATACAGCATTTCGGTCAGTACAACCTCTTCTCAGCCACGGGAACAGGCACACTTCTCTTTCTCTCTGTTTCACAGTCACAATGCCCCTTGACTTCAGTCCTGCTTGAGCGAGGTTACAAAACTCTTTTAGTGCTGCCGATAAATGTCTAAAAGGCATGCCATTCCACCATACATCTCAGCCTGAAGATGCTTCATGGGTTAGGAAACCTAGCTCCTCCAATGAAGTACTTGGAGTCACCTCAGTCCGCAAGCAAGACTCTAGCCCATGGCACTGTTTTACTTTCTCTGTGGGTCAGGAAGCCCACTACTGTACTTTATCTCAGGCTCTAGCTCTTGGTTCTGTCTCTTGCTTCTTCTCTTGTCTCACAATTTTCTGTCCCTGGAATGAGGAGATTCAATGCACAAGGATCTTGGAGTGCAAAGGCCATGCTCCATTCTTGGCTTTTTGTTCATGATAGTAGTGAGATCGCCCCTTCTTATGTCTGTTGTTGTTAGGTGCCATCAAGTCAGTCTTGACCCAAAGTAACCCTATCACAACAGAACAAAACTACTGGATCCTGTGCCAGCCGCCCCATTTTTCCTCTCCTTTATTGTGCAGCCACTTCATCAATTCATCTCATTGAGGGACTTCCTCTTTTTCGCTGCCCCTTGATTTTACAAAGCCTGATGCCCTTCTCCTGGCACTGGTCTCTTCTGATAGCATGTTTGTGAGATGGCTCATTTCGACACGGCAGGATGCTTCTCTCTTCTCACTAGTCTGAGTAGGGCTGCAGTGAACACTGGTGTTAACAAATGTCTGTTGAGTTTCTGCTTTCAAGTTTTGTGTGTGCTTGGGAATAAGTATAAAGTATTGCTACAAAATCATAGAAACCTTTATTAAACCAAACTATAAAAATATGAAGTTGTTCCTTGACATAACCGCCATTTAGTTCTATGCACTTCTGAAGACAATCTTTCCATCTCTCTAACTCTTCCCTGAAGGATCCTACGCTCTTCAATTTGTACCACATGCAAAATGAGAGTTTTGGTATCCTGGAGGGATTCAAATCATACTCATTTTAAATATTATTTTAGTGTTAGGAACAAAGGAAACGTCTGAAGGTGTAAGATCAAGACTGTACGGTATATGGGGCAAGGTTTCCATACACAATTCTAATAGGATAGATCTTGTTACCCTCAATGAAAAAGTCTGCTATTTGATGTAAAACAAAATTTCTTGGCTCAATTTTTATGGCCTTTTTTTCCTCACCAATGCAGTTTTCAAATGTATTAAAACATCTTCCTAATAACTCCTCATTACTATCCTGTGACCCTCAAGAAAATATATCCAGATTACTCCTTTGATATACCCAGTCTAGTCTCCATGACCTTCTGAGTGGAACGCTCTGTCTTGAATTGAACTGGCCCAGTGCATCCCCTGAGAAGCTGTCGCTTTGGTTAGACCATACCCTCCAGCCCCTTGAGGGCACCCTAATGAAAGTAAGGCAAGTGCATTACTGAGGGAATTTGTGTGCAGCCATCCACTGGACGCAGAGATAAGATAAAACAGTTTTGCTTTGAATAAGTTTATTCACATATGAACTGGAACATTAGTAGCAATACTTTTTGTCTTACTCTCATATCTAGAAGTAGAATTTCTGCTTCAGGAGCTCTGGTGTTCCTGTGAGCTAAGTGCTGGGCTGCTAACTGCAAGGTCTATGATCCAAAACCACCAGTAGCTCCTTGGGAGAAAAATGAGGTTGTCTGCTTTCCATAAAGATCCACAGAAACCCTGTGGAGGGTTACTAGAATCTACTTTATGAGAGTGGGTTTGGTATAGAAGTTTTATTTTTAGTTCTCTGAAGAACCAACAATGCTTCCCACAATGGCTGTACTGTTTTTATTCTTATCAGCAATGGATAAAGGTTCCAATTTACCCAGCTACTTTGTTATTTTCTGTTAGTATAATTATTTTTTCATCTCAACCACCTCCATAAAATCAAACTCAATCCATTGAGATGATTCCAATTCATAGTGAGTTTATATAGGGGTTTCAAGACTAAATTTTTATGGGAATGGAAAGACTCATCTTTTTCCTGTGGAATAGCTACTGGGTTTGAACTGCTGACCTTGGGGTTAGCAACCTAACAACTTATTCACTACATTACCATGGCTCCTTTTCATAATCTTCATGGAAGTGAAATTATATCTCATTTTAGTTTTAATTTGCACCTCTCTGATGATGTTGAGTATCTTCTCATGTATTTGTTGGCCATTTGAATGCCCTCTTTGGTGAAACAACCATTCAAGTTTTTGCCTGTTTTATTTTATGTTTGACTTTTGGCTAAATTGTCAAAGACTTATATATACAGTAGAACCCCGGTAACTCGACCTCATCAGTACTTGACATAATTGAATTTCGATGTGAAATGTCAAGAAAATTTTGCATCAGAGCTGGAACAAAACGTCAGAATCTGACTTGACACACGTGATTTTTATAAACAAAAGCTGTTAGTATTTCCGTAATTTGGTGTTAGATGGTGTTGTCAGTACGTGTTGTTTAAATGGTTTGCAGCTGTGTTCCAAGTGTTTTGCTATAATTTTCTTCATTTTTGTGGCTTTTTGTAATGTTTTTATATAAAAAAACGTGGGTCCTAAGAAAGAGTGTTTTGAAAAGAATCATCATGATAAGGAACTGGTTAACCGTGTTATTGATATTGTTAATGATAATTTAGTAAACCCTTTTAGAAAATTTAAGGAAACGCTAACAGCAGACCATATTAGACAGATTTTGTTTTTTAGAGAGTCAGCCAGGTCCTAGTGAAAAAAGTAAAAGAAGGGGAAAAAAGACCTCCTGAAGAACAGTTACCAGTTGATTTTATGGAAAGGGCTTCCCCTTCCAAACAATGACTCTCTCTCGATACCTCCTCTCTACATACATGTCTGCAGATCTAGATCCTCATCCATCTTAAGGTATGGGCCATACTGTAGTTGTTAAAAACTTTTTTAATGTTGTGTTACTTATTTAAATTATATTATTTAACTCTGAACTTATTTATTTCAAATATCTGTGTAATGTTTGTATAAAGAAGCAAGGTTAGGTAAAAACTTAGTGGTCAAGAAGGGATCAATCCATTTTCAGTTATTTCTTATGGGAAAAATTGATTTGGAACTTGACTGCATTGCATCTTGATACTCCTTCTAGAACAGATTGGAATCGAGGTCCGGGGTTCTACTGTATATTGGCTTTTAGATTCTTGTTGAATCCATGAAAGATTGGCCCAACAGTGTTGCCCCAACAATTTCTTCCAATAATTTTATAGTTTAAGAATGCACATTTAGGTCTTTGATCCATTTTGTATTTGTTTTTGTGTATGCTGTGAAGCATTGATACTGTTTATAATTTTCCACATGTGGAAATGTACTGTCTCAAACACATTTACTAAAGAGACTCTTCTGTCTCCGTTGAATGGATTTAGCACCCTTGGGGGGGAAAAATCATTTGACTGTAAATATGTGGAATTATTTCAGGACCTAACAGTTTTCTATTATTTTATGTGTCAATGGTTATTAGGTAGCAGGCTATTTTGATTCCTGCAGCTGTATTGTATGTTCTAAATCATCTTATTCTGTTCTTTCAACATTCAAGCCCTCTAGTCCATGAGTATTGGTCTTCCCATTTTGGTAAAGAAAGATATTGCAATTTTGTTTGGGATTATATTAAATCTATAGGTTACTTCAGGTATCAAAATTTTAACAATTTTAAGTTTGAATTATGAACATGGAAGAACTTTCTATTTAAATTTTCTTTAAGCTCTTTGTACACACTACTCCAATTTTCATTGACAAGTTCTTCACATCCTAGGTTAGAGTTATCTTTAGATACTTTATTATTTTAAATGCTATTGCAAGTAGAATTATCTCCCTAATTTCCCTTTCAGATTTCTCATTGCTGGTATACAGAAATCCAACTAATTTTTGTTTATTGACATTGTACCCTGAAACTTTGCTAACTTTCTCAATTTGCTCTAGAAGTTTTCTTGTGAACTCTAGGATTTTCTATATAAATATTTATATCTATAATTTATTTTAGGACATTTGGAAATCATTTAAGAGATAAAAAGTACTTTAACATCTGAATTAAAAAGTAATATCCTTCTATTTGTAAAATAGAAGAAAATATTGTAAAAAATAATAATGTAAAAATTCCCCTGAAAAAAAAAATTCCCCTGAATTCTACTTTTTATTAAGATGTAAATAACCACTAGTTAATATCTCCTGCAATGCCTTTATTTTCTTATTCAGATACTAGTTGTGCTTTATAAATACAATGAAGTCTAATCATTTTAACTACTTGTTTTCATTTCATCTATTGGAAACATTTTATAAAACAACTTTTATTTTCAGTATAATTTTTAATAGTCTGTAGAACAGAAAGGTCTTTAAATGTATATTCAACATAATGAGGACTAAATGTAATAAATTATTTACATATTTTTTCTGTATAGATTTTAGACTATTGCACAATTAAGATGAATTTAAATTCACCAGCCAGATACCTGTATGACTTTTGTGGCCAAAAAATTGAAGATATTTCTAAAGGTAAGTAGGAAAGATTTTGTAAAATGTGATATTTATCTGAAATATGTTTAAATAATCTTGGTTTATGTTTTTTTTAATCATTTTATTAGGGCTCATACAACTCTTATCAAAAACCATACATACACCAAAAACCATACATACACCAAGCACATTTGTACATTCATTGCCCTCATCATTCTGAAAACATTTGCCTTCCACTTAAGCCCCTGGTATCAGGTCCTCATTTCCCCCCTTCCTCCCTGTTCCCCCCTCCCTCATGAACCCTTGATAATGTATACATTATTATTTTCACATATCTTACCTTGTCCGACACCTTCACCCACTTTTCTATTGTCCTTCCCTTCACCCACTTTTCTATTGTCCTTCTCCCAGGGAGGAGGTCACATGTAGATCCTTGTAATCGGTTCCCCCTTTCCAACCTACCCTTCCTCTACTCTCCCAGAATCACCACTCACATCACTGGTCCTGAAGGGATTATCCGCCCTGGATTCCCTGTGTTTCCAGTTCCTATGTGTAGCAGTGTACATCCTCTGGTCTAGACAGACTTGCAAGGTAGAATCCGGTAGATCTGGATCATCCGGATCCGATGGGGTGGGGAGGGGGAAGAGGAAGCATTTAGGAACTAGAGGAAAGTTGTATGATCCATTTGACATCTTTTTCTGCGTCTATTGATATTACCATGTGGTCCTTATAGTTTTTCATGTCAATGTGATGAATAATACTAATGGTCTTTCGTATGTTGAGCCATCCCTGCATCCCTGGTATGAATCCTATTTGGTCATGGTGAATTATTTGTTTTATATACTTTTGTGTTCTGTTGGTTAGTATTTTGTTGAGGATTTTTGCATCGATGTTCATTAGGGATATTGGTCTGTAGTTCTCGATTCTTGTGGGATCCTTTCCTGGTTTTGGTATCAGAGTTATACTAACTTCATAGATGGAGTTAGGGAGTTTGCCGTCTTTTTCTATGTTCTGGAAGAGTTTGTGTAGGATTGGCGTTAGTTCTTCCCTAAATGCTTGGTAGAATTTTCCAGTGAAGCCATCTGGTGCAGGGGATTTCTTGTTGGTAATCCCTTGATAATCTTGTCTGTTTCTTCTATTGCTATGGGTCTGTTGAGATTCTTGACGTCCATCGAGGAGAGTTTATGGAGGGATTGTTTTTCCAAGAATTTGCCCATGTCTTCCAAATTTTTGAATTCATTGGAGTACAATCCTTCATATTACTGTGTAAATATCCTTTTGATTTCATTAGGGTCTGTTGTAATGTTCCCTCTTTCATCCCTTATTCTTGCTATTGAAATTTGTTCCCTCCATTCTTTGGTTAGGTTTGCCAGCAGGCTGTCTATTCTGTTTATCCTTTCAAAGAAACAACTTTTAGCAGCATTAATTTTTCCCATAGTTTTCTTATTTTCCCTCTCCTGAATCTCAGTCCTGCTTTTTATAATTTCTTTTCTTTTGCTATTAGTAGGATTGTCCTGCTGTCTCTGCTCTAGTTGTTGTAAATTTTGTGCCAGCATATCAATCACGAGTCTCTCTTCCTTTCTCAGGTGTGCCTGTATTGCTATGAAACTTCCTCTGATAACTGCCTGTGCTGTGTCCCATAAGTTTTGGTACGTCATGTGTTCATTCTCGTTGGTTTCTAGAAATTTCCAAATTTCATCTCTGATCTGTGCATGTACGCACTCCTTTTGCAGTAGAGTTATTCATCCTCCAATTGTTTGCTCTTGTTTTCTTCGTCTTCCTTCTGTTGATTTCCTGCCTTATGGCACAGTGGTCAGAGTGTGAGGTCTGTATGATATCAATGTGCTTAAATTTATGTAGATTCACCTTATGCGCCAGCATGTGGTCTATCTTTGAATATGTGCCATGTGGGCTTGAGAAGAATGTGAATTTGATTTTGTATTTGGATGATAAGCTCTGTAAATATCTATCAGGTCAAATTATCTAATTGTAGTGTTTAGATCTCTAGCCTCCTTGTTGAGTTTCTTTTCCTGTCATCTATCTTTCTCACAGAGCGGTGTGTTGAAGTCACCCACTATAATTGTTGAAGTTGTGATTTCTTTTTTCATATTTTGGAGTGTTTGGTTGACATATTCAGCAGGTCTCTCATTTGGGGAATATGTATTTACAATGTTTAGTGGTTCTTTGTCTACCATTCCCTTGAGCATTATATAGTGTCCCTCCTTATCTCTTTTTATGGTTTGCATTTTGAGGTCAATTTTATCTGAGATTAGGATTGCATCCCCTGTTTTTTTTGAATTGTTGTTTGCTTGGTATGCCTTTCTCCAGCCTTTGATTCTCAGTCTATTTTTGTCTGTAGCCTTGACATGTGTCTTCTGTAGGAAGCAGATTAATGGGTTGTTTTCTAAGCCAGTCTGCTAGTCTTAGTCTTTTAATGCCTGAGGTGAGGCCATTGATATTCAGGGTTATTATGTCCATCTGTGGACTCTGTGATATCATCTATACCTTTTGTGTTGGGTGTTTTCCTACTTTCCTTTCTCATTAGTGTGTTGTGCCTGTGTGTGCGTGTGTATCATTTTTTACATCTTTCCATCCTTAAGCCAATGCTATCTTGGGGTATGTTTTCTCTTTGTTGCCCTCTGGGTGAGGTTGTTCTATGTGGCAGTCTCTTATTTATGCTTGGTGAGTGTTGTTCTTCCGCCCATACTGGGTCAAGGATCTTTTGTAGGGCTGGGTTTCTTCTAACGTATTCTTTGAGTGTTTCCTTGACTGGGAAGACTCTTACTTCTCCATCTATCTTGATCGATAATTTGGCTGCGTAGAATATTCTTGGGTTTGCATTGTTTCCTTCAATTTTTAGAATATGTTACTCCACTCTCTCCTCTTCTTCATAGTTTCTGCTGATAGGTCTGAGTATATTCTTATTGGGAACCTTTATATGTGATTGCTTGTTTTTCCCTTGCTGCTCTCATGTTTTCTCCTTTACCTCAAAGTTGGATAATTTAACTATTATGTGCCTTGGTGACTTCTTGGGATTCAGTCTAGCTGGTGTTCTTTCAGCCTCCTGAATGGTTGCCTGATTTTCATTTATTAAGCTGGGGAAGTTTTCCTCCAAGAATTCTCTCACTATTGTTGCAGATGACTTCTTTGTTGTGTCTTCCTCTGGTAAGCCAATAATTCTAATGTTGTCCCACTTCATAGCATCAGACATATCTCTTAGATTTTCTTCAGCTTCTCTGACAATCTTATTAGATTTTTGTTCTCATTTGTTAACATCTTCTTGGCTGTCCTCCAAGTCACTGATGCGGTTCTCTGCTTCCTCCAGTCGATTCTTGAGGTCTGTGTTTCTGCTACTGGTTTTTGTTATCTCCTCCCTAAGCTGCTGTATTTCCCTTTGGTGTATAGCCTTTATCTCCTCTATCATTTCACCCCTTTTCTGTATTATTTCCCTCATATCCTGTATGACTCCAAGAAGCATTTTAAAAGTTTTTCTGTGGCAGCTCAATGTCTGCTTCTTCTATGCATGTCGTTATGTTCAGGCCATCTTTTCCCATTGCCTTTTGTTTCTCCTGTTTTTTCATTGAGGTCATTGGGGCTGATGGCTGTTTTTGTTGTGTTGTTTTAGAGGAGCCAGGTGCCATTTTCCAGGGAGTCGAAGAGCACTGGCTCTCTCTGGGAGACTTGTAGGTATGCTTCTTCAAACTGCCTACAGCTAATTTCACTATGGAATTAACCTACCACTTTATCCTCCTGTGGCTTCCCTCTCAGAGGAGTGCCCCAGAAGGCTCATGGATTGCCTGTTTTGGTGTTGTGGAAATAGGCCAGAGGTTTCTGCAGCAGCTTGGAACATTGAGGAGTGTTTGCCGAGCTGCCTTAGTATCCCAGGCACACAGGCAGGAATTCCCTGTTAAGAAGTTGGGCAGAGTATTCCCTGGGGGAGGGCAGGGCTTTCCCCAGCCTAAGGCTAGCTGCACAGGGTGGAGCTCAGGGCAGTGATTTGCTGGTCAGCAGTGGAGTGTGAGAGAACAGGAAAGAGACAAAGAAAAGAAAAAAATTAAAAAGGAAGCCCGCTGAGACTGTGCATGTATATAGAGAAGGGAGGGAAACAAAAGCAATGTAGCTGAGTCCCATTCCCTTTCCGTGGAGCTGCAAGGGTTTAGTCCCCACCCGAGGAGGCTGGGCGGTAAGCTATAGCTGTGTTGAGCAAAAGCCCCTCCATAACCTTCCAAGATTGTGGGGGGATAGAGAGAAGAGATGGACACAAACGTAACAATGTAACTGAACCCCAATCCCTGCTGGTGGAACTGCAAGGGTGCAGTCCCTGCCCTGAGGTAGGTGGTGGCAAACTGTGGCTGTGTTGAGACCAAGCCCCACTACGGCCTCCAAATGGTCCTGGCTTTGGCAGAGACAGTGGTAGGGCCAACATCAAGCCCCAGCCGGCCTCCACTGTGGTAAGCCTAAAGCTCCTAGCCCCTCAAAACTCCCTGGGTCTGTGCCTACTTATCTTTATGATGTTCATCCTACATTCCAGCAGCATTGAATTTCCCTCTAAGCAACTCTCCTGGGCTGAATTTTGCGGAGTCCCTCTGGTATGTGTCACTCCGTCACCCTCTTTCCAGAAGTCATCCGCTGCTATATCAAACTCATTGAGGTTCCTCCTCATTTTTTTCTTCTTCCTTTTTAATGATCCTCTACTTTACCAAGTATGCTATCCTACTCTAGTGCTCAACTTCTCCTGATAACATATCCAAAGTATGTAAAATAAAATCTCATCATTCTTACTTCTAAGAATCATTCTGGCTATACAAAGACGATTTGTATGTTCTTCTGGCAGACCATGGTACTTTCAATATTCTTTCCCAACATCATAATTCAAACAGATCAAATATTTTTCAACATTCCTTATTCATTTTCTAGCTTTCACATGCATATGAGGTGATTGAAAATACCGTGGCTTGGGTTGAACACACTGACAGTCATCAGAGTTATATCTTTTCTCTTAGTAACACTTTAAATAAGTCTTGTGCAACTGATTTACC